AACCAGCAAATCTTAAGCCTTATTGTGCTTTACCCCTACTACTTTTTCTTTGCACATTTGAAATACTTGCTGTAATCCCTATGCGTTGTTTCAAGAACTAAAAAAAGAATGTGTGCTTCATTAATTAAAAATAATAAAACTAAATAAACTGTCTTCAACAAGCAAAACAGATTGCAGTTTTTAAAACAATTATAATTAAGAGAAACACACAGTGCATCGTCAGGAATTGAGTATGTGTTGAAGAGAATTTTTTCAGAGATATACAGTATACGCAGTGTGCCAACATTTTTACTTAGGTGGTTGAGACAATATACTGTACTTAGGAAGCTGTAATCTCCTGTTATTCATTTCTAAATACTGTACATTGAATTATGTTTTGCGATTTTATGAACCCATATGCAGTATGCTACAATTTCCTTGATTTAAAAACATGTCCCAATTCCCCAGTTTGCTTCTTTGGTTTGGCGATCTTCCATTAATTTCAACCATTTAAAAATAAAAGTAATCCTTCTCTTTGGAGAAGGAAGCCTCTGCTGTATCTGGCGCCCGTTTTAGAAACAAAAAGGTCTGTCTACCTTCCAGCACCTTCTGTCTCCTGAAATAATGTTCCCCTTTATTCCAGACAGATGCTGCTCTGACATATGATGCAGTTCATATTGTGTCAGTGTCCTATCAGCGAGCCCCTCAGATGACTGTCAACTCTTTACAGTGCCACCGCCACAAACCTTGGAGGTTCGGAGGGCGTTTCATGAATTTCATAAAAGAGGTAACTCAAACATTTCAACCTCCAATAGTAAGACAAAAGAGTTTTCAAGAGTAACATCAAGGGCAGTAACACCACAAGGAGTTCTATTGATGGTTTGAGGTCATTTTTTTAGATGACTAATAGTCCATTGATTTTCAATAATCACTTAGTCTAATAAAGGACGCAGAGGATTGCAACAGTATAAGCATGAGCCGAACCTGGCAGGCCAGTAAGATATACAGTAATGCTGTTAAAACTTGATTTCCAGTGTTGCAAATGCAGCTCAGAAATGAACACGTTTAACTTCCGTTCTTATTTTATTGCTATTGATGTGCAGCCAGTTTGTTAGAATTTGTGTGGTTCAGCGTATCAGCATTCTTGTTTTCCAAAGGAATGGTGATCTTCCATTTGTCATTCCATTCAATCTGTATTGAGCTGTTGTCACAGTTTACAAATATACTCCAGCCACATTGACTGCAAAGGTGGGGTACTGTAATATAATCTGAAGTCCCAAAAAATGATTAATGATTAAATCAAATAACCACAGAAATAAGTGATCTGTTAATGTCAATGTAATTATTTTAAAGCAAAGGGCATTTGTCAGCTCCTGGCACCCTCTTTTCCTCTTTTGGTGGGGGGAAACTTACAAAAGAAATTGACAGTTTCAAAAGATTAATCAAATCTTTAAAAGTTTTAGGCAGGATTTTAAAGTTAATTCTGGTCTGAACCGGAAGCCCGTGCCAAGATGCCAAGAAAAGAGTATTACAGTATAAGCATCGCTGACTGGAGCTTTGTTAAGATTCTTACTGTTGAGAACATACTGCAGGGCATTGCAATAATCAATTTGGGATAAAAGCATGAACTAGTCTTCCGCATCAGGCATTCACAGAGAATCAAACAGACTTTTAGTGATCTAGTCTACCACATATGAAGATTGTAACAGTTAAGATGTGTGGGATGTGATTTAAATCCTCTAGCACATACTGTACAGTAAAAGTAAGCTTTGGAGTTTTGAGATGTTCGCTACATGTCGGAACACAAATGAGCCTTGTTCTGTGAATAGAACAGCACGCAGGATCAAACTCATAAATGCCAGGGTTTTTTTTTCTCTGCATAGGAAAGTAACAGCCACAATTATTATACCTTGCAACAAATGCTCTGTTCAGCATCGGAGGTTTGTCTGTAATTCAGGACAGAGGGTTACAGTGGGGTTTGTAAGAAATCATGAGAGTGTGGCTCCAAAGCAGTAACGATGGCGATGATTGTTAATTAATCACAGTCCAGGGGGAGACAGTATTTGAACTGCTTCAATGTTAAATCTAATTAAAATGAAACGGGGTACTGAGTGATGATTAATGGTGTATGGTAACTGCTGTCTCGTTGTTTTTACTCTGTAGTCCCACTGGGAAGGATTAACGGGGAGGCTGGTGTTTAACAAAACTAGTGGCCTACGGACAGATTTTGATCTTGATATCATCAGTCTGAAGGAGGATGGTCTTGAAAAGGTACGTTTCTCTTCCAATGTACTAAAGGGACTGAGTGGTTTGGTCAAGGGGAAGGAAAAATATTTATATTAATCTTGTGTCTTGTGTCTTCTCAGTGCTACTGCTGTGCAGTTGAATAAATATTCATCATTGGAATTCATTGATAAGATTGCACAGATATACTGTAGTTCTAATGTACCTTTCTGTTGTTCTGTAATCCACATATGAAAATATAATTTACCTCCTAACAAGGAACTAATGGGCTGCTTTAAACAAAACTGTTAGTTATTGGGTCATAAAGTAAATTAGATTAAAGTACTTTAGTGTTAATTGCAGCCTTTGTTAATGATGTTTTCAGGTTATTTCTTTAATGCTTTTTTGTAATGAGGGCCTTAAGTATGTTTGCATTGTGTCTTTAACTGAGAAGCAAATGACATGCAAGTCACAATGTAAATTTGTAAAGATCCTGTCTCCTCCTGAAATACAAAAATTGAAACATTAAAAAACATAAAACTGGGAAAAACATTTTTATGAGAACAGATCAAATGTTCCCTGTGCTTTTCCTCAAGAGAAACTGCACTAGTTTCATACAGAGGAAAGATTTACATGTACACCAATAATTGAGCTGTTTTGGATTTGAACCGTAGTGAGGGAGACCTACTGTAGCTGTGCTGATGTTGACTTTGTCTCACTTTTTTTGTACAAAGGCAACACTGTCTTTCTAAATATACAGTAAGTCAATAAAAGTGGCCGATCATATGAAGGACCCAGCAGGTGCTTATGGTTAAAATGCATTCCGTTTCGGACAGTTGTGTTTTGGAGATAAGAAAAATATAATCCAGGAAGACAGTGTAATATGTTACTGTGGTTTTTAAATCAACCTTATTTATAAACAGGATAGATTTTATAAGAATGCCTACTGTACAAACTACAGAACACTGTCTAGGAGCCTAATTCTGTATTTGATAGAAAAAGGCTGTAACCCTGAACACATACGCAAACTCAAAGTAAGTCTTTTTGCCATTTGAAGAAATCCCTTTAGGCTTAAACTGTCAGATAGATGCAAGCTATTCTTTAAATTGCTGTAGCACAAGAGGGACAGAAGCGAAGCTCCAACCAATAACCATCATTCACAATGAATTATAGCCTTGGGAACAGGCCTCATTGTCACTTTTCTCTCTTTGTCTCAGTTTTGTAAATAAGCAAATAGGTAAGAGACATGGCAGCCTTCGACAAAATCAGGCTAATACTCATTTAATCAGGCTTCCTCATGTCAGAGAATTAAAGGAATTGTATAGCATCAGTTGACTTTTACAGCAGAAAGATAAGTTGGCAGTCACTTCAGGCTTTTTTAAGACTTGAGAGCTACAGTACAAAGCAGTCCCAGTGATTTGAATATTATCGTTAGTTTAATTTGTTATTAAATGGTGATAAATTCGGAATGGAGAAGTTGCTTAATGTCAGTTGTAGCATCATTAAAAAGTTGGAAAGCTCTGTCAAAAGGAGAAAAAACCCTTTAAAAACGACTTTGGATAATCATGTTTAACCAATTGAACAGGTTGATTGCATGCAATTAATGTGAAATAGAGTAACATGCAGAGTGGAGGCTATTATGGGCTTTTTTAAGACACTGTACTCTCACCCAATGCACAGACAAACATTATGTGCTACAATTTTTAAAATAACTACTATAATAAGGTTCTTTAATTTTTGTATGAGGAGTACATTTCCCATGAGGCATGAAGTTTATACTACATACTGTATATGCAAAGAGGAGCGTAAAGATCATATCATGTCCAGTGTTAAGGACAACATGGTGCCTTAGGTAAATGATTCACCAGCCTTTGAACATAAACCAGAGACTGTGTGGTTATTTTCTGTAGCGCTGCTGTATTATTTCCCCTTGATAACAGTCATATTAAGTGTTCAGTGTGGCACGTGGCACGTAGTCCTACCTGCTCTGCCTTTCAGCAGCTCCCCTGCTGGAATGGTGCACCCACTTGACCTTACATATACTTTGCCTGTAGGTGATGAGGAATAGAATCAGTAGTACATTGAACTGAACTCTCCACATTCACCCTGTCGCTAAAACTATTTATTGTGGGCTCTCAAGGTTTTCCACACATCGGCATTGAGAGCTGGGAGAGATTAAGTGTCGGTTGTGGTCCGTAACTAGTTGTATGTACTGTAGTCTTTCCGAAATATCTGTTCACAGCTAGAATCTTGGAAAACACAGACCCTGTGCAGCCTTGTGGTAGAGTTTACATTTAAAGGATCTTAACCTTAGCTTACCCTTTTTTTGGTGACATTCTGAACTCCTTGTGGGAATGCGTGTTTTCAATAACCCTTGATGCAAAAATCATTATGTTGTCATTCTTAGTCTTTTAGAACCTGGCTATCAAGACAGTCTTATGCCACTCCCTGACAGCCTTTCACAGTATCTATGGCTTGTCTTTCAGCTAATCTGCCACACTTTAAATGTGTAATTACTGCACTGTGTACAGTATATAATAATGAGGGAGATTATTACAAATGTTTGCTACATGAATATTGAATATCACTTTAGGGAATGATATAGAGATTCAGTACCGATGATATTCTGTTTGGAATTTAGATCTGTACAGGCAGTCACAGCAGTATTCAAAATAATGATTTGTTTGGGAGTATTTCATTGCAGAGAGTATACCTGAGGGGATTCACTTGCAAAAAATTCTTTATTTGTTCAGATCTTCCAACTGACCTTAGTGGACTTGCTTGATGCATAATGTAGTGGTTTTGCAATTTGATTCGCTGTTCACAGAACAGTAATGATCCTTTTTTAGCTAATCTTTTTACATATACTGCGTTTGCTTTGGATCAAGGTTGTAGAGAGTCTAAAGATGCACTGTTATCTTCTTTAATAGCTGGAGAGTAAACCTACAATTCCAATTTAAATACAGGATTTTTATGCCTATCCTTTATCTACAGAACGTGTTTCTTTCACACAGAATGAGTTGTCTCAGAATGTCTGAGAGTCTTCTCTGATCTTTGGATTTTTCTTTTGTTCCATTTAATTTGTTAATGACCTTGTTTCAGATACAGCATTCCAGCTTTCTGTATTTTTTATCAATATGTGAAAATAGTTTATGAATGGCTTCTGGGATATTATGTGTGGTTAAGATAGTTCTCTGTATATCCCAACATCTCAAAAAGGGTATAAATGCCATATTATACTTTTGGAAAATGATGTTCCAAAAATAAGAATGACTTGAATATTTAAACATTTGGTATAAAGGAACTCTAAATAATGTTTCTGTGAATTTTGAAAGGATAAATTACGTTTTAAAGACAATCATATAAAACATTCATATGGATTCATTCTTGGCACATTCAAAGTAACTTAGCCAGTCTGCATCAATAAAAGAATGAGATAAAATGGAGATATTGGAAATAAAATTTTATTGACTAACTTTATCATTAATTCCTTTAGCAGTCACCTTTATCCAAAATTACATAGAAAATTTAAAGTGCGTGCAAAGACCAGAATGCAGAATGAAATAAACAAAAGAGAACAGTCAATACAATATTTATACAAAATTCACCAACAAAGTTAAAAGCCTATGGTATAAAGAACTGTAGTCTATATTACATATACCTGTAGTGATAATATATTAGTTTAAATAATTTTAATACAGAACTATCGACATTGTATCATGCAGTGATGTACTGTAAATCATGTAATCTAAAGGTACTATACAGTAGTCTCTAAAAGATTTATCTGTATAGTGTACGTAGATGCTCTGTCATGCATTAATGTTTACAGATGATGTCTTCCCTAATGGTAATATATAAAACCGTCTCAGTCTTACTGAAGTTGATTTAGGTTGTCCTCCAAAAATAATAAAGGACAGAATGCTGTGAAAGTCAAGGTCAGTGTTGAAAAATACAAAGCAGTAATGATGTGTTTTTGACCTTCTACAGGTTGGCAAGTGGAGTCCCTCAGGTGGCCTGAATATTACTGAGGTCCCCAGACCGAGAGGGGTAAACATCACAGACTCCCTTTCAAACCGCTCGCTAGTGATCACTACAATTCTGGTAGGTCACTCAGTTTATTGGTCAGGAACAACTGATGAGGGGGTACAAGGGGTGGGCAATACAGGGTTAAAACAATATGTTCTCAGCAATATTCTGTAAATTTTCTCCACCCAAAGTGTAGGGAAAATTCATTTTGTGAGTGCTCAAGCTCAAAAACCGAAATTGAAAATTAAAAAAAAGCAAAGTCAGACATCTTTCGAATGAATTCTCATGTCATTTTTTCAACACAGAAACCAATATTAAACTGTGGCCTGCTCATGCAATAAAGTTTGAAGATTAACTTTATCACCTCTCTCATAATCTTTAGATACAGAAATTTACTAAATTAGAAAAAACTTTTCCTTTATAAGAAATTGAAAGTGTCCTCAATCTCCTGAATATTTAGAGGAATTAAATGGGTCTTTAAGGGTCCTGTCATGTTAACTATCACATGTAGACTTCTGTATTTCTATAAATGTAGATTTTCTGTTTTTCCATACATTTGTTATGGTATTATAGATACATCTGCTCATGTCTTTGTTCTTACTTCTTTCTGTATTGACTTAATAGTGTGCAATTCTTCGTATGCAGCTTTAATAATGCAGAAATCATTTTAAACGCTTCATGATGCCTGGAGTTTGGCAGTACCGATGCTTATCTGGTAATTCTGAAGAAAGAAATGGAAGCAGGCTCCTCCGATAGATATTGACTGTTTTGTCAGCATATTGTAATTTTCCTTTTGTTTGATGTCCAATTCTTACAGTAAACTGAGAAACCAGTTATATATTAAATTATTACCCCTTTAGCCGATGTTTTTATTGAGCAACATTTTGATTACTAAAATGCATTATTAATGTCTTCATGAGGCCACATTAGAGGCAATATAAACAGAATTAGTTTGTACAAGCAATTGGAAATTCTATTGAACAACGTGAACTGCAAGCACTGGCATTTATTGGCATAAGGCAGGTGATCTGTTGTATTTTGCTGTGTGATATAAATATTTATACAGTATATAGCCATGCAGTCTAAAAACATTGTCACCAAGTAACCTGGAATGCATGAACTTTGTTTGGGGGAGTCATTCTGGTAAGACAGCACTGCGGAAACTAATTAATAGAATTACAGTGTCTTGAAAACCTTGTGTTTCAGATCATTTACGTTGGGTATGATAGTCGATATTACAGTATCTTTAGGGAAGGGCAGGTGTGTCAGAACAGAAAGGCGTATCACCTACGAGAGGCATTCTTTTGGTCAGGTTTTAGGTTGCCCGAAACACAGCTTTATCTTATTCCTTGAGAAAAGACAATTGTGTCAATTACTACAAAAAAAGTAAGAGACATTTGAGTAAAGTAAGACCATCCACTAAAAGGAAGGACATAGTATTTTTTGTTGAATTTTTTGCATGTTGGTTTTTTTTTTCTCCTTTGAGGCATTTTTGTAACTTGACATGTGGTGAGGTTAATACTGTAATTCCAAACCAACATTTACTAACTGTTGGGCGATATTCATTTGTGTATTTCAAAAATGAAAAACAAATGTCAGTCTAGGCAGTACAATAAAAGTATCCAAGACAATAAAAATGCACACAAATTGAGATGAGAAAGAAGTAAAACCTTATATGCTTTCACTTTTATATAAATGTACATATCCATTTTCCTGGCCCTGGCTCATACAGTATGTATCCCATATTAAATATTACATTACTGACAATTATTCTGCCCTAGAAATAGAAATTGAAAATGTGTATTTTATTTGGGTTTAAATGAAGTAAGATTATTTTCTTTATAAATCCTTTAAAACCGATAAATATGTTTATCTATTCCATTCTTCATCCAAAGAAATCCCAATATTCTATATTTAACTATATCCTTCTATTTTAAAGTATGTCATTTTATGATGTTTGATGGTGATGGTCTGAAATACTGTATATACTGTATACTTGTCAGATGGATAGATAGGTAAATAAAATGATCAAAATGTGAAAATGAATTATCTCTGGCTGTTTCACAATGCTAGAAAGCGGAGCCATTTAAACAGACTTCTAATCGTGCTTTGCCTATACACAATCAAATTTAGCAGTCACGGCTAGCTTGCGCCCTTAAACTGTAGGTGTCATTCATCAGTGTTGCACACCTAGTTTTGACCAGTGAAGCTTGCGTATATAGTATGTGTCTTACAAGGAACACCTTTCGGGGTTATGATGTCGTGTAAAAGCTATTAGTCACTGTGAATTAGGGAGTGCAAGCATTATCTCAGGCCATTTCAGAGCAGCAGGATGCAGAACCATCTAATTCCGATTTAGAACACTAAAAAAGCCAGTCAGCAGCCACGGTCAACTAATTCACCAGCAGTGGTCTAGATCCCCCCTGATTTCCTCCACCAAAGCCAGTCAGGGCATCCCCACTCCAAGGAAATACAGGGGCATGTCTGGTACAGCTGTCACAGGGATGGCGACAGCACACTGCCTTCACCGGATCATTTGCCTAAGGGTACATGACTGATCAACAAAAACACTGTAATTAAGTGGAGATAGAAATAGAAGCATGTAATCATCATCAAGGGATGTGCAGAAAGGGTTATAATCAAGCCCTCTTGGGTGCCAGTTTACACTGAAGTAAGAGCTGATGGAATAACTATCATGGCCATGTGTGAAGTATGAAGGCAGTTGGCATGTGAACTTTTATAGGAGTGTGATCACAAACCTGAATTCGTCACTGGTTTTTGTGCGTGAATATTTTACTGCCTTTTCGGGCCTTTATGGGAGGTGTTTATGGATAAAACAGTACTACCGCATGTAATTTAAGATTGTTGTTTTTTTTACTTTTCACACAGTATGCTAATTTAAGTTGTCTTTCTGTGTATTTTGGGGGCCAGTTTTTTTAGCAGTGTTTCTGGGAGGCCAAGTCCCAGCCCTTGAAAAGCACGGGTCTGTCTAGGAGTGCTCAATGTAAAACCTAGTAGTGTTAGATTGATCAAATTTAACAAACAATTAACATTGATTATAAAGTGAGAGGAGGTTATTACAAAATGTGTCATTGTGCACTTGTCTGATTTCTAAATGATGGTGATGTTACCAGGGACCAGACCTGGAATGTGTACAATTACTACCTGGACAACATTTAAAGCCTTCAGTTACACTTCTCCTATTTAAAGTGTAGTGCTCTAGGGATGATTGCAGCCTTTTGCAGAACCCCAAAATTCAGATCTCTTGAGTAATAACATATAAAAACAACAAGTTACTGAAAAAATCATATTGTGGCTTTAATGAGTTTCATTGCATTATATGATATTCTGAGCACATAAATGAGATAAAGCCTGACAGTTTCATGTTTATGAGTATTTCTTTTCCAAAGACAGATTAAGGCATTTCATGTACTGCATGTTAATTGTCTCCAGTTCATTGGCTGTAAGCATTGCCATACATTTTTTTCTTTTGTTTCTGTTCTCCCATGAAGTCTTAGACTGAAATGCATTTGAATGGAGCTGATCACTCTGATTTTAAACCAGGCCTTAGGGAAGCTGGTCTACTTGGAGGCTGTGAGCAGATGGTAATTTTTTAGAAATTGTGGTTTTCAGATCAAGGTAATTGGACAACCTGTACTAAGTTCTTTGGTAAGGCTAACTTGCTTTCAGTCAATGCCTTGATTTTAGTATTAATGTTTTCATTCCTTTAACATTCTAGAAAATTCCACAAAATTCTGTGCTGGGAAATTATGCTGTGGTTTGTAACAGATGTACATGCAGTTAAATGGAGCATGAACCAGTTTTAAAGTCCAAATATATAAACATCTATTGATATGTTTTGTTTCGTTTTTATTCATGTGCTCCTGCAAACAAGCTCATTAGTTTTCCAGGCAAAAGTTTACGTCTTTTGTTTTTAAAGTGGAGTGAAAGACATCCGCAAGGTAAAGAGGCAGTCTGGAATGATTAATGTGCTTCCTGTCAGGGAGAATTCTGGTGTGTAAGAGGCCGTCATTTGCTGAGTCAGTGAGATATTGTTAAGGAAGGACATGGAGAAAAATCAGTCATGTATTCTCTACCAAGGCACACATTTACAAAGTACCCAGCAGTGTCTTTATATTAAAAGAAATAAAAAGTTTCTGAGGGTTGCACAGTGGTTAGCATCACTGCCTTACAGCACTGCTGCCCTGGGTTCGATTTCACACCTTTGATGCTGTCTGAATGGAGTTTGTATATTCTCCTTTTGTTAGTGTGGCTTTCCTCCAGTTTCCTCCCACATACTCCCAGAGACATACTGGGAGGTTAATTGGTGTGTGGAAAAATTGGCCCTGGTGTGAGAATGCATGTGTCTGTGTGTCTGCCCTGCAAAGGTCTAACATCCCACATTGTGTCCATTGCTCAGCAAGGTACAGTAGGCCCTGGCTATTGTGTGACCCTGAATTGGATAACATGGCTCAAAAAGAAAACTGTTAGTAAAAAGAAAAAAAAAGCTGGTTACTGACAGTAAAGTCATCTGCCTTCTCTTTTGTACATGCAAAAACAAACTTATCACATGAATACAACCAAGTATCATTTTAAACATGATTTGTCACTTCTTGTAACTTAATAACTTTATAGAAGGACAAAACATATGACTTAAAAGCCCCAGGTGAAGAAATTACTGTACTGGTTTTTATCTCCAGTAGATGTACAGTCCCCATACTAAGAAAAGGTTTGAAGCCAAGATTTGGAATAGATTCAAATCTTGTAGATTCAGTCTGGTGGTGATATTCTTTTTTCCCCACTGGCAGATACTTGAGTAATTTCAATATGATACCGGGTACTGTAAGTCTAAAACAATAACAGTGGGTGTGCACAAACTCTTATGTTCCTTCATCTACTGATTAAATCAAGTGTAAAAGAAACAGGAACTGTCAGGAAAAAACACAGAGCAGAAAGGCAATCTTCTGTTTCTTCAGATGAGGGCAACTACAATGAATGTCTCACCTACTGACAATTTTCCCAGTCAATGGTTTTTTACCATGGTGCCCTTCCACATTATACACAAATGTGCTTTACTTATCAGAATCAGAATCCATTTTATTGTCCTCATACAGAAATTTTTCTTTGGCCTCACCTAGGCAACAATAAAACAGTGTATTTACAGAGTACGGAAAGACTTCAGTAAAAAGTGCATAAGACTCAAGTGTGATCACTATGCATATATACAGGATGCTGTCAGTGCAATATACTGAATGGCCTTGTACATTAGATTTAAAAGCGTTATGGCACTCTGAATTAATGACTTCTTAAAAATGTTTTTTGTAACCTTTTGGTACTCTGAAACACTACCTGGATGGTAATTTTTCAAATTGGAAGTGTAGTGGAGTTTAGGCATTTTTTACTATCAACACTGCTTTCCTGTAAACACTCCTAGTATATACTGTATGTGGTTCAGCTGGTTCTGTTTCTGACCAATACGTTTGCTGCCTATAGTATGTTTATATTCCATGAGAGCTTGGCTCTACCCTTGACACTAAGTGTCCCATACCAAATGGAGATGTTAAAAAAAGCACACAGTCTTCCAGGCTCCTGTAGGTCAGCTCTAGGGTGTCTTTGCTTATATCAAAGCTTTCTTTATTTCTTATACAATAAAGGCATTGCAATATTAACCTTCTGAATATTTAAATAGAATCACTGTCAGCATTACCATAGTATCATGCAAGGGTATAAAGTTACAAAACACAGGACAGGCACAAACAAGCAGTGAAGTCAAAATTTCAAACAAAACCATAGTAAAATTACAAATTCCCATGCACATTTGCAATCATATGAGGTCATAAGTCATAGTTACCCATGGTTATGTTTTAATTAGATGCACTGAGAACATCACAGTGCTCACAAAACTCCTGAAGACAGTGTTGATCAGTGCCAAATGAAATTCCGACAAAGCTTTCAGTGTCTTAAGAAGGTGTGGGGGACCCTTTTCCTTTAATCTCACTAATGCAAGGAAAAGCTCATTATGTTCAAGGAATAATGGTCATGGGGCTCCTTAGAATTCAAATGACTAAATATGAGAAGCAAGCATGGGGTTGAAATTCAACATTTTAATCATATCACCCATGTGCAAGACACTTACTGTATTACACTCAGCAAGGGCGACAAAGGAAAACAAAATGCCCATTCTTCAGTTCAGTGTAGTCCTTGTGTCTTCAATACAGTGCTAAAATGAATGACTTTTTCTTTTGCAATCTGTGGATGACCCTGATCTCGCTACACCAGATTTCATTGAGTTTTACCAAAAGAGCTACTCATTCAAATGTCTCTTCATACTGGTTTCATGATTATCTAAATTAAGACCATCTAAATAGTGTATACAATTTTGAATAGCTAGAATTAAAAGATAATCACAGCCTTGAGTCCAAATACAGTCAATGCAGATTTTCTATTTTGCCAAATACTTAGCAGTACAGTTTGGCACTTTTACACAGACTGCAGACCTACACTGAGAACTTCTTAAGTTATTGACCTGAAAGCACACCAGATGAAAATAAAAAATGTACTTTTGCACGTGTATTTGGAAAATGTTTGTATTCCTTTTTTTTTCTGCAAAAACAGTGGCAATGCCGAAGTCGATGCAAGGGGTGGCAGGTGCCAATGAGACTGAATAATTGTGTCCGTTGACTGTTAAATTTAATTGAGATACTAGACGAAGAACATATACTGTACCTACAGTAGATGATCTTACACATTTGGGGTTAGAATCTGTGATTTGTGCCTCCCCTAGAAAGAAAGAACACAGAAAACAATCTCTGCCCCTGCCCCACCATTGAGAAACTGGGCAGATCCTGGCATCTTTGCTGTGCAAAAAGTGAAAGGTATTAAAAAAGAAAACCCTAAGAAAATCAAACTTGGAACAGTTTCGAGCAGACAGTCCTATAATCTGTAGAATGCTGACAGCCTCTTTGTGTAAACTAAAATGTTTCACGACAGAAGAAATATTATTGCAACTCCTTTCCTTCACCTTATACACGCTTAAGTGCATTCCCATAGCAATATGTGGGCTGTGTAGTTATAAAATTGAGGGCACCTTGACTGAGAAATCGATTAGCAAGCTAAGTGTTTGTGAATTGTATGCCTGACCATTGTAAGTAATAAATGGTGTAATAGTGCATGAATAAGTGGTCTACCTTGTCATAAAGTGTCCCTCGGGATGAAATCCCATCCAAGGAGTATTTGCAGCTGAATCTGACAATGTGAGTTACTGTAAGTATATTTAACAAGAGGACAATGTTTTATTTAATGTCCATGAAAAACATTCTTCAACATTTAAAGAATGTATACACTACCACATTTATTTGAGACACTTGTTTTGCCTGAGCTATTGTCTCAATAGAAAACGCGACTGTAACATCAGCTGAAGCTCAACTGAATCACTGAGGTGTTCTACCAGTAATGCAGAATCATAGAGGAAGAACAGGGTCATAGTAACCTCAAGGTCCCAAACTCCGATTTTACATTTATAATAAAAGAACACTTATTACTTTTTACATTATTCACCAGAAGAAAAAAAAATACATGCTTTAACCTTTGCTGCAAATAGTTGATTCCTGAAGTACAATGCTGCTCATTAATCCATATAAAATGAATAAAAACTGAGTTCTTAAGAACTTTTATTTCCTTCACTTATTGCTTTATACTAATGTTTTTACAAAACTGGGACAGGGGGCTGAGTGTAGCATTGCTTAAATCAAAGAACTGAACTTAAATTTTCATTAAACAAGATACTTTTCATCAAGTGTTTATACTGAAGCTATTTAGTTCTGATTTTCAGGCTAAATTACACAAACTATAGCAGTGGTAGTTATGATATTATACTGTTTATAAGATCAGTTGACATGATGTATTTGAGAACATACCTAAGCATTTGAATATGCTGAGCAGTGTAAAACACTTTAGAATAACATTGGCAATCTAAATTAGAAAACCCACCTTCTAAAATAAGCCTTTCCCCAAGCCATCAGTTTAAAAAAATAAAATATGCTGTGCAAACGAAACTATATCTGCATGAAAGTTTCTATCTGTGTGCTGTGGAAACACACTTGAGGTAAACACATTTTTATTTATTTAATCAGCTGGCATATACATCCTTGGTTTTAGCTGCAGTAAATGCTTACGAGAGTTATCAGGGTAGATCACTTAACTTTAATTGGTTTTGTGTTTAAAACAAATTGAAAAGCTGACCTTACCAGTGGTTTATATTTGATGTTCTGTGTCTTTGCAGGAGGAGCCATATGTCATGTTTAAGAAGTCTGACAAGGCGCTCGCTGGTAATGACCGATTTGAGGGGTTTTGTATTGACCTTCTTAAAGAACTGGCAAACATCCTAGGATTTATGTACGAGATTCGACTGGTGCCTGATGGAAAATATGGATCACAGGATGAGAAGGGACAATGGAATGGGATGGTGAAAGAACTAATGGACCATGTAAGCATTGCACTTTATTAATCTGGTGAAATGAGTCATTTCTACATCCTGTGCACTTTTGAAAGTGAGATAATGTAATAAGTATGCCGCTTTTACCGCATAATAATCATAGGAACCAATCGAAAGACAGTCTAAAACTGCATTTATCCTCATCTTTGGGCAGTACCCATCAGTAAATTTACTGTATTTCTGGCTGTACATAAGTATCACACATCAAATGGGGGAACGTCAGACAGTTCAAGACTGAGGCTCTGTTCTACAGCATTTTTTCCTCATGTGGCTAATGGACACATAAATGAATGCTATGTATTAAACCTCTGGTGATATTTCAAAACTATGTACTGTATGTTTTGTAAAATGCATATCCTTTGCTGCAGCTTTGAGGATGCACATTGATGTTGTTTGCAGCCTTGCCAAGCAGTGTAGGCATTGACAATGCAGAAAGTAACTTTGCCTGGTAATCCATATTTGGAAAAAAAGCAGTAAAAAGCTTCTTCTGTACTAATGTGACTAATGTGGAAGCCATTGCTGTTAAAGAATCAACGTTGTGGAAGCAGATGACTAGCTATCGCGATGGTGCTGCTATGCTGGCATTTATAGAATGGCCCTGCAGTATCTCTTTCCAAAACACATCCTTAGGGGACAAAGCAGGTCTTGGAAGAAGGCTGCAATAGCCTAAATGGCATTTAGTGAACGAAGTCATACGATCAATGTCAATGGAGGAGCAGGTAAAGGTGAATTAAGGGGCAGCATTTAATCTTTACAAAGCTTTAGCAAGATTTGGACAGATATAAATAACCTTGAGAAGGAGAGGAGGATTAAGGGACTAAAACTAAGATTTAACTCATTATTTTTCTTGTTTGAAGTTAAATAATCCCATTAAGAGTTTCCTTAGATTCTTAGATTCAGCTGTAAAAAGATGATACTGTGTTTATATGCTCTAATGTTTTGGAAATTGCTGGTGCTTGCATATTATTTACTGTATACTGGAGAATTCTGGTTTTGTTTTTCACATGGACAGGGGCTACTCATTGGTATTTTTTTTCAAAATATATTGAAACCCCTTTAACACAAAATGTCTATAGTCATGATCCTTAAGGGCTGTAGTTCTGCTAGTTTTCTAGGTCTCTGTTAATGATAATCTGTTTTAAAATTGTGGACAAAAGACAAATAAGTCCAATTAAGCTTAACACCAATCAATTTAACATTTAAGATTAATTGGAATTTTTAAGCTTTTCAAAATTGAGAAAACCTGTTAGGTTGTGCTTTCAGAAATTACAGCTAGGGACTCCTTTTTTACAATCCAATTAGGCATTTCTGTATTTACAATACCACAAAACATGTTATGTCTGACTTCAGAGGCAAAAGACCTTTATGTCTAGTTCAAAGTGCACGTCAAAGATTGAGAAGTGTAAGATTTTAAAAGGCTGCTTGTCTAATGAGATCATAGTGAAATGTTGTGTTATGTGTTTTTAATTGTACACAAAATGTATTTTTCAAAGAGAGGCATAACTGAGAAAAATCAAAGAGAAAAAAATAGACTTGCTGAAGAATGGTAAAGTGCAATATCACATATGGATTTTTAACATTTTTAAAACTAAAATGAGTCCATTATGATCTTTGCTTTGTGTCAAAATGCTTTACGAGCTGTTGGCATCAGGAGTAGGTCTAAAGACATTAAGTACAGTAGAGTGCAATCAAAATCCTCTGATCTTTGATTATACCTCTTAAGCTTTCATTTTTCTGCCAAGTTTTCCTGTCAGTCACAATCTAGAGTTTACCGCCTTTACAGCAGTGCAAGTAATTTGTAAGTCTCAGTTGATCAAGGCTTCTGAAGAGCGACCAGTAATGTATTTTAACAACTGTGTTTTGCAGTCATCTGTCTTAATTCAAAAAGGCCCTTTCTTTTCTGTATCATGAGTGTCAAGAGCTTCTACAAAAGATCTGTGATTAATAAGAACATGTGCATGTCAAAACTTCGCATAAAGGTCAGCCAAATAAACACCTTTGAGAAGTTTTTTTTTGTTTATGTTTTTAAGGAATAAATATGCAGTTCACTATAATATAAATTGTATGTGGTGGATTTAAATGCACAAACTGAAAACCATATTAATGTATATCTTTTCAACAGAGTGGATAAAATATGACACCTTATTTTCCTTCTTCAAGTGCATGTGAATGACTTGAGTTTATAGTTTCACCGAGCTAGACATCAAATCTGACTATTTCTATTGCTTTTTTTGTTTCAGTTAGTTCTTGAAGTATTTGCATTTTTATTTCTTTTTCTAGGATCAATTGCCTTGAATAAAATGTGATTCAGTATTCATTAAACTGCTCTTGGCTGAAGCTCCCAACTGTGTGATAATCAAATGTGCACTTTGGCAATAAATATATTGTTATGCCAAATATTGCTGGTCATCCGTGTGAAAAAAAATGGCGTGGATCAGTTCTTCACTTTTGAGTCTTAAAATTTATACTATTTTGATTCTTTTTTCACGGTTCCCACAACCAGATGACAGTGTCTGAAAGTTTACTTTTTCTAGCCTACACTTCTCATATAATATTGTATGCACATGCACTTATTTTTTGAAGTAACCAGTGGCAAGTTCTTGCTTTACACTATTGTATATTATTTTACAGTATCTCAGCAGAAGCCTTCTGTTTATGAAGATAAGCTTAACTAATGTCAGTTACCTTGAAAAGCAAACTAATGGGCATGACATAAGAAAGGCTGGTCTGATTGCCATAAGAACTTAGATACTGTAGATGGCTCTTTCTAAATGAATGAACTTGCTAGTCTTATCTGTGGCAGGAATGGTATTAAATCTGGCTGACGTCCAGTCATTAGTTTTCTGGCTACTCATTGCTAGTTTTCTGGGAATTTTTAAAAATCCAAACCGATTATAAGGATAAAAAATTGTTATTGTAAATATTATGATGATTTAGTGTTGCTAAATCACATTGGAAAGAATTAACCTTCAGAATGAAACTGTTAAATCTGGTGTTTTCCTTGTAGTCACAAGTTTCTCGTATTAGTTTGTTTTGTAAATGAGAAAACAAAGGCATATTAATATATATACTGTATATAGTCAGATTTATGTTTTGGTTTATTTTGATTACACCTTTCCATGAACCCTTCATTTTTTATTATCTGTTCATCCTGGTGTAAAAGGCTTGTATGTATTAATAGATGGGTTTTACCAGCAGCATGTAAAAAACAGGTCTGGTCTGGCTTTGTGTAGCTGAGCTGTCCTAGTCCTTGGTGAATCTAAGCTGATAAAGTGCCACTAAACCAAAGGGCCATATATTAAATCTGTCACATCGGTACTCCATAAATCATCGTTTCATTACTGAATTGCGAAAACTCTTTGCCTGGCTTGTCTGTTTAACTGTATCACAGTTACGTGGGTTATTAAATATAACAAGATTTCTTTGCTGTTCTCTGTATCACAATCCTGGTGCAGGAGAAATACCGTATACTGGAATTGATTTGTGAGAATGTGATCCAACTGAGAATGCGTAAAAAAATAATCACCAATAATTTTTTGAGGATATGTTTTTTTCTTTTCTTTTCAATCAGAAAGAGGACTTTTATACCTAAATTAGAATTCTTTATGTGAATGAATGTGCTGCATTACTGATTAATTTCAAAAGGGCTTTTTTATCATGTCGCACTGAACACTTTATTTTGCTCTATCATTCACATACAAAGCCCACTACAAAGCTAAAGGGCATTGTGGGAAAGCAATAGGCCTTGTTAAACTTGATTAGTTACAATAGATGGTCCCATTAATCGTACTGCGATGCTGTTATTAATAATAGCTAAGCTATTCATTTGTTACTGTCTTATGGTAATTAATCCTTGTTGCATCTCAGACAAAGGAAGGTTACTGAACAATATTGCTTCATTGTTTCATCATTTAAATGAAGCATTATTTGTGACTCAAATGATATTGTAATAAACCCGGGCTTCATTAATGGCAATACACAGGAAAGCTTGGGTTTATGGTAAGGAATAAGACACAGATACTGTATGTATATATTTCCCTGTAAAATAATAAGGGTATTATGGTGATTACTGCAAATCTGGAGACTTATTATATCACTTTGAGGCTCAGCAACATTTGAATAATCATGAATGCATTTCAGTAAACTGGTGAAATTACAAAATATGTCTCCTTTCATTTTAAGGAATTTACCAATTAAAGGTCTGTTTTCTAAAAGACAAAAAGCAAATGAATGAAAGAAGGACAATAAACACAAACAACATCCATTGAAATTGCTCTACAGTAAACAGTATGTGTTGGTGGTTGGAAAACTGTTTTTGAAGAGATGTCTTTTCTTGATAGGTTGCCATAAATGTATTTGACTGACAGTGTGTATACTGTGTAATTTGCACCTTGCAGGTAAGCTAGTGAAACACATGTGAGTTATTTTCAGATGCCAGACATCTGTTTCTCAGATTTAATCATTGATATTTGCCCACTTTGTTGGGAAGAACATAGAATAGAACAATAACTAACATGTACTGTAAAATAAGTCTTATTTACAAATATACAATGCAGTCAATAGACAAATTCTGGCTGAAATACATACATAATACTTAATAAATTAACATTATTTAAAACAAAATCAGGAGAAAGGGGTTGTAGTGCTTAGAAGTTTTTATTTGGTTTTCAAAATAAGCTGTTTTTCCACCTTGAACAGGTTCTTTTGTGATCAGCACTACCAGTTGTATCTATCAGTCAACTGGTCCAGGCCTGTCAATTGAGGCTGACCATAATAACTGCGCTAAACCATAGCTATTGCCACAGAAGAGCTGCCATTGTTCTATTTTAAAGTGTTAGCAGGGGAGGATTTTTATTTTTACTGTAGAGGCGGTAGAGAAACTAGACATGGCCCTTTGTGAGTTACAATGTGTAAAAAATTAGTTATCCAGGCATTGAAAGCAGCTGGTTTCATTAACCTCATATTCAGCACCAGAGAGAGTTGCGGGGGTGAAGCAATGTAAATGGTGACCTTCTAAATACCCAGTAAGGTGTATAATTGAGAATTACTCCCTCAGTAAGACATTGCATTAGCTGCTTCAAGATGTCTTCTGGGTTTATTTTTTCTATCAGTTGTACTGCAAAGCTGCTTGCTAACTAAAGGTAGTATGAAATACTCAAGAATGTATTAATGATTTGTACTGTATGTATCAATGTGTACTTGCATATTTCTATTATCTACTATTTTTGGTATTGTTGTTTTTTTTAATCCAAAAGAGCATCTGGTTATCTTCCAGAATTTTCACTGGTAATGGTCAAAATTCTTTATCTATTGCCTATTGTCCGTTTGCAATGGAAAAACAGCAAACTGCATCAGCAAAAAGCATTATTTCCATCTTCTCAAACAAAATTGTTTCTTGGTTACCTCCAAATAATATTGAAACTACTGGTGATTAAAGGATGGAAGATGTAGATGACTTCATGAACTGTTATGTGTGGCTCAAAGCCTGTGGTCGACTCATGAGAGCAATGGAGATGATTACATGACATTGCACCATGAAGCATGTAGAATGGACTGCTTAAAACATATCTATTTAATGTTATTGTCATTTATTTCCAAAACCAGTTCTCACCCATATTTATTTCATGCCTTTTCTAAAACAGAGAAGCAAGATCTGATGTTTCTTGACACTTTATTGTATTAGCCATTGCTTACCCTATGATATATCTGTGATGAAGAAAACATATTTTATTAACAGAATACTGTTAGACTGAATGTACTTCTTCTTTCTCTTTCAGAAAGCTGACCTTGCAGTTGCTCCGCTGACTATTTCTTATGTACGAGAGAAAGTAATTGACTTTTCCAAGCCCTTCATGACTTTGGGAATAAGCATTTTGTACCGGAAACCCAACGGAACCAACAATGGTGTTTTCTCCTTTCTGAATCCCCTCTCTCCAGATATCTGGATGTATATCCTTTTAGCGTATCTGGGAGTCAGCTGTGTTCTCTTTGTAATAGCCAGGTAACTCCTGACTGAGTCAAAATGCATTGCTTTGTATCACTTTAGATTTATTTTCAGGGCTAGTTCAGATCCAGAATCCATAAACAATGTTAGCAGCGCTGTTACTGCATTTAAAAAAAATCGTTTATTTATATGCTGGCCAATGAATAATTTTTTCTATATAAGAATACAATATACTGTACATATAGTACTGTAAGTTTGAAGAATGACACACCATTCTACAGTATACAACTTACACTAAAGGAGATTAAAAGTGAGTTCTATATTTGTATGCAGAGTTCATGAATTAATATCTCACAGCAGCACATGGGTCCTGAATTGGTTCATTCAAGAAACATGCTTTACTAATTTCTGAGGAATTTTTAAACGATATAATTATTAGTTTGGAAAATTTCCACAAGAGCCCTCCTGTTTCATGTCTTCGAAAGACACATTTATGAAGTATGTTTGCATCAAAATGATTGAATGAGTTTGTCAGGTTTCTTATTTTTCTCCCTTGGCATTGTTGATATCGCATCTGATCCTTGTCTTTGTCAATAGCGCACATGTGAAGTGGTGCTCTTCCAAGTTTAGAGGAAAGAGGCACTTTGCACTTGACATTTTGTATGAGAGCCGATGCAGCTGTACTCATTAAACGCCATTGTATCTTGAAACCTTTTGCTTTTCAATTGGCGTATAAAAACAAAAAAAATCTAAAATTACTCAAATTGCAATAAAAATTGTGAGAAACAAGACCAAAAATGGTTAAGTGTTGCTCTATTCATGCCATTTGAATCAAAAGGAAGCTGAAAGTGTGGAGCAGGTGCACACTGAAGTCCCTTAAAGAAAGGTCAGCATAGCTCACAGTATAGAATAATACTCAAACATTAACTCAAAGCCTTCTCTTCCGATCCACAGCTTGCACATTGCTGTCAAACCAATTATGAGGTGTAATGTCACCCGTTGAAGAGTAGAACCTATTTTGCATGAATAATTAGGCTCACCAATGATGAAATGTGGACCATCAGAACCATCTGACAGATTTTGCATCTTAAGTCCTGCAGTAGCTACAGAAGAGCCTGCATTGATTGGACCACTGTGGTTGCTCTCACTGACAAAGCACTCTTTGCACTCTCAGTCAGTCTCTGCCAACTCTCCATCACAGTCATCATCTCAGTCAAACGTTCCATCACTTGACACACAGTCAACTAAAGATGTAGTTCAGACTCTGAGGCTTGGCCTATAGTCTGATTGAGAGTCTTTACCATTAGAGCAACTTGGGGACCCTATTGTATTCTTGAGTCTTAGGTCAAAAATACTATAGACCTACCTGGAGCAAAATGCAGATTGTCATACTTAGCTTTTTTGTTACCAATTATGCAGTTATTCATCAGAGTTCTGACATATTTTCAACAAATCGCAAACCAAGCGATTTTAAAATTGTATCAAGCACTAGCATGACTTTGTTTTGAATATTGTGTACAATCATTGTTCACAACATCAAAAAAGTATATTGCTGTTCTACTGGAATATCCTACTCTGGTAGGCGGACAGAACTAAATCTCTCTTAATAATCTTGACTGTAGAAGACTATCAGGGGATCTGATTTAAGTATTATTCTTAAGCATATTGACAAAGTCATCATATTGGACTCATCAGTGAAACATGAACCAGAGAGCACAAATGAAAAGAAGTAGTCTGCTCAGTTTGTGCTTGTTGTATCACAGACATACAGCATAGATTCTCCTATTTACTTATTTTAGCATGACATTTTATCAGTAGGCTAGTGTTAAGTGTTTTTAAACACATTGTTTTCTAGAAAACAAAAGTAAGATACTATAAAGTTATATGGCATTCATACAGTATGTGTACGTTTATTCACAAAATCTTTTTTTCAGAGGTGAATGACCTTTACATCTGTGATTTTTGTGTTAATAAGGATTGAACAACAAACATGGCTCAATGCTTCAGTTCAATGTTTCCACTTTTGATTTTCTGTTTCATTGAACACACCAGAAAAGCTGTGTGCCGATATAAAAATGTCTTATTTTGAAATACAAGGCCTTAGTATTATGCACTAGAGACATAGTTTAAGCCATCATTGTAGGTCAATGCCATGTTAAACCTTGCCGAGAATACTCAAAGGACCATAAAAAGAAGATAAATCATAGCTTACCAAGCTTTTAATATAAATATATTTATATATATATATCCTATATACCATTACAGTTTATAGTGTTTTATCTACCAACTAAAATCCAAAGATCACTTTAAGGCTGTAACTGAAAAACCACCAAGGTTCTTGCTTCAGTAAACTACTCAGAAATCTGGAAAATATAAATTTGAAATTTAGCTGATAAAAAAGCAATCGAATACAGATTAAAATTTAAGACTCCAATTCCATGGCTGTATGGATAAGCACTACTGCTCCAGCAGCTGTGTAATAACAGAGTTGTGCTGTTATCTTCCAGGAAACCAAAGTACTGGCCAGGTTTCAATTTCAGAGGTGCTGCATCAAGTACCTTTGCTGTAACCTACTCCAGTGATACAGAAATATCACATATTATTTATCTGGTATTTTTTTACATATACATACATGTACAACATTTTACTTTCTTCTGGGTTTTGGGGGTATTATCTCACCAGTTTATCAAATAATATTTTTGTTAGACCCCAAAGAAGTGTAGAAAACATGTTGGAAAAGAATATGATGATGAAGACATACACACACGTGTAAAAATATTACAAAAAGAACTTCCCAGAGGGGCTAGTACTCTCTTTCCTTTTCTGTTTTCCAACAGTTCAGCTAAGACAGAAGAGTTAAAACACATTCAGAGATGTATTGCTGAATTTTGAAAAAAAAAATACATTTTCTATAGTCGAACAGTAGGAAATACTGTTCAGAAATCACAGTAATCAAAGATAAGTTATCCTGACACAACTTTGAAATGATAGCTTGAAGCAGTTTTTTAGAAGTCTTTGTTTAATTTTATTTGCTTTTAAAATAGGCTGTTTTTGCGTCAGCCTTTAAGGACAACAAAGGATTTATTCTTCATTTTACATCACTACAGGATGTCTGACATTTTTTTCCGAGGAATTGACACCCAGATAAGATACATCTCAATTTGTTGTTGATCTTCCTTTGGCAGGCGAACCAGCAGCACAGATCAAAATCGTCTGATCCCTGTGAGGGAATTATTCAAATCAAATTCAGAAATAGATGCAAACAACCTAATTTTTCATGTTTTATCTCTTTTTATTTATCTTGTGGTGTGATCAACTGATTTGTCACTGCAACAGAGTGATTTTATTTACTGTGCACTTTACAAAAGAAAGGGGCGCGGAGGAATAAAGTGGTGGCCTATCGTATTTCATAAACTTGTTTTGGTTAGTCTCATATGCATGTGAGAGAATCAAATTAAAGCATAAATATTTTATAACCATATATTTAATACAACTTTCATGTTTTATTTTCTCAAATGAATGGCATTCTAATTATGGTGGGATCTTTATTTTAAAGTGGTATTTTTACTTCAAAAGATGGCATTTGCAGTTGATCTGATACAGGAAAATGCAGAACATGTCTTCATAAGACTTTGGAGATACATCTCATTTAGCTTTAGCTTTCTGCCTTAACCCTTAGAAGGGTTTCTGCCTTAAGAAGGTGTCTTACAAAAAAGAAGAACATTTTCTATTTGTCTTGTTTGAAACATCCGAATAATGAAACTATTGTTTGCTTTACAGCTCTGGCTCATTAGCTGTGTATTCAGACTAGTTTAGCTAGGAATTTGCATTTTCACAATTTTAACTAGCTATGTTTTTCTGGACATATTTCCATGTGAACAAAGCATAGGCTGTTGAATTAACTGATTAATCTGCTCACAAATAAGAACAGCAGAAAAGCTGGAATATAGGATTATATAGCCGAGCAAGCTCTGTACCACTGTTAGCAGCTTACCAGCCTCCTGTTTCATTATCTTTCTCCAGCAATGCAGCAACACAACCAACATGTCGGAAATGTCTATCATGTAACTAAAAATTACTTTGTGACATTTCAGGGTTGTTTTTCTTAAACTGTTACAACATTGATCTTTCAGTGAATCCACATGATATTAAACACTGACTTTTTCTGTGATGCTTCACAGGTTCAGTCCTTATGAATGGTATGACGCCCATCCTTGCAACCCGGGTTCTGATATCGTAGAGAACAACTTCACACTGTTGAACAGTTTTTGGTTTGGTGTTGGATCGCTGATGCAGCAAGGTAGGGCTGTCTCTTCCATGCTTTTCAACATACACTCACTCGACTGTTTTTTTATTTGACAGCACTACTGTACGTTTTTTGTAAGGTGTTGTGCTTGTCAGGAGCAAGTGGAGCTTAGACACATATTACAAAGAATAACGTTGTCACCCTCTACCATACAAAACAAGCACAGCAAAGAGGAAATATGTCACAGAACTGTCAGAATCTGACAGCAGGTGCAAAATGCAAGCATTTGTCTCCCAAAAATCACAACAAATGTGTCTATTGAGAACTCTTTTTTTTTCCTTTTGAACACAATAAGGTGAGTCATGGATCTCACCAGTCTGGGTTCTACAGTTACTCCTACAGTGTTCTGTACATTCATGCATGAAATTGTGATTTTACTGAAAACAAATGTCAGGTTGTCCTGGAATTGTAATCTAAACTTATTCCAAGCTCCTAGGATGCTATCTCCAAATTATCATCCATATTTTACCTTTTATATCATTATTTTCTAGTGCAGACGTTCTTGCCTAATCAATTTCTATATATTTTATATATTTTTTATCAAATGTTGATACGAGCAGTTGGTGTAATATTGAGGTATTTAATCTTTTATATAATAGTAATGTTTGTGTAAAGTGTGCAATGTTCGGTGCAATCTTAATTTTTAAGACCATTACCCATATCCATCTGTGTCAGTTCGACTGTATACTTGTTGTGCTAATTTCTAATTCCTTAATTCTTAGCAGACAGACTTTCTGACACTTTCATGCTTCTGTTACCTTGATTATTAGGTATTAGTTACCAGTAGGACTTGTGTTCAAAATACGTAGGTGACTTGTGGTTTTGCTTCTCCTCTACTAAAATACATACAATAGCATGTCCTGTGTTTTATAAATTGGGTCCCCGGCTTATGAGAGAGAGTTCTTTACAAGACATTGAGGCACTTTTGTCATCTTCGCCTCCTTGAAGGCTGGCACATGCAAATGACTTTTGAAAAGATGCTGCACATAAAATCTGTAGATACTGAAATGTTTAACCTCATGTACTGTAACAAGGCAGTGCATGAGACTGCATGTCAGATTCCTGCCTGTAGGATAGTAAATATAGAGCACAATTCTTTAACCACAATAGCAGGATGGATCTTCTATCTGGGAGGTATTTTTCTCTCATAAGAACAAGAATGTTTGATTCAAAGGACAAAAAAATCATCATTGCACATGAGTTATATTGAAGGAGACAATAAACAGGCCCTGGGATATAATTGTTTACTAAATCTGTACTGCCTGAAACAGACTAGTTGATGTTATGAAGACTTGAAATCCTGATTCAGTGACCTCAGAAATCTTGCATGGCAGGGTGTCTGTTGCTGTCAGGTTTCACTGTGTTTTGGGTGCATCCATATTACCATAATTATACAATGATTATGAAGTCTTTAACAACTAATCAAGTTTCCTATGTGATTTGTTTATGTGAGAGTCATGTCACATAAACAACTTTTCAAGTACAGTACTTCATTTCAAACATGTCTGCAACAGACTGTCATATCACTACTTAAAAAAATAATAAATAATAAATAAATAAAATAGCATAATGTACCTCTGACAGCTACATATTACAAAAAGGATACTCCTTCTCCTTAATTGATATGGAATAAATAAAACATTATTGTATTATAACACTATCAGTTCACATCTTACTGATACCTAAGGTAATACAACATGTGCATCTAGCTCCTCCCTCAGACATTTGAGCTTCAGTCTGAGAAAACAATTTGTACTGTATAGCAGCCTTGATAGTCTGTCAGTTTTACAGAACTTTCATTCACTTACAGTATCCTTTGTTTTAACATACTGTAAGTAGATCTGAAGATTGTGCTTAATAGGTCTATAAATACCAAATTAATAGTCAGTTTTGGGAAGATTTTACATTATACTATAATGTTAATATTGTATGATTTTTTACATTTTTAAAATTCTTTTAGATTATTCAGGGTGAGAATTTAATTGAAAAAGTCATCTCTAAGGAAATTGATCCTTTTTGTACAAAAAGCAATTATTGTTATTTCTGAACATTTCAGTTACAGTATTTCTGTTGTCATGTCGAGTCTTGATATGTTTACTTGTTTTAGCGTTGAAAATCAGAACAGTTACAAACAAGAGCAAGCCATTAGACCCATCCAGCTCATTTGATAGTTAGTAGCTAATTGATAAAAGGATCTCATCCAGCTGTTTCTTGAATGAAGCCAGATTATCTGATTCAACAACATGACATTTTGCAAACAATTTTGTCTGCAAGATATATGAGCTGTGGAAGAACAGAGGAACATCTGTTTTAACGAAAACTGAATTAAATTCACCTTGTGAGTAGGTTGTAAAACAAAAATTATATTCATAGTGATCTATCAATCTATAACTGATGTACTGTACAGTAAATTGTGAAAAGGGGCTTAATGACTTGAGTGTCTTAAAAATGTTAATTATTTTTCTAATTTGCTTTTATTCTACTGATCTACAGTAACATTGTCAATAATATATTTGGTAAAAAAACTATTATTTACAATGTTTTAAGCCATGTTACTGTACAGTATATTAAGTAAATGTATTCATATTGAATTTAGTAAAGCAAGGTAAACAGCTTAATGTACTGTATGCATCTCATAATGGAAATGGGAACAGGTGTTGCTTTTTAAGGGCAGCTGAAGAGAATGGTAGGAAAACCATTTTTTTAAACTATTTGCATCATCTCAATAATACTGCGCGTTCATATTGGTAAGGCCTGTTGAAGGCTTTTGTTCGGATTACTACCAGAACCAAGTGGAACAAACCAATCTATTTCTCTGTGAAGCTTTGCTTGTTTGAAAATCGATTAAAAATCTTATTAGTTCTACATTGCTTCTTGCACAGATCACCAAGTCTTGGGACAGGCATTGAAATATTGCTTTTATCTGGGCTGTCTTAATAAAGGGATTGGTATAAGGGGTGGTTTTTGTTGAACTGTTCAAAACAAAAACTGCAGTCTGTGATATTAGTTTTGTAAGGATAAATGACATAAGCAAATGCTGTGTTTTAACATATTCAGATGGAAATGGATTTGTTTTCAGTTTCTACACACTCTTTAATATTCCACTTTTAATAATTGGGTTGATCTAGAAGAAACTGTGTCTGTGATTGCTTTATTTCTGTTAAAACTAGCCGGCTTACTTCTAGGCCCATGTTTTTTCTTTTCATTGCTGTGTGAATGGATAAGAAAAAAAATCTAGCCAGATAACATACCAAGTGACACAAGTGCTTTAAAACCTGAGAAGAGCTGACACATTTAAATATCAAATTACCACATTTCCAGAAAAAGTCAGGTCTCTTGTGAGCTAGGAACAGGGTCTGTGGCACTAATGTGTTGACATGAGGGAGCAATTAAATGGCATTTGTGTAAATAGGTTGGAAAAGCAGGAGAGCAGGGAAGTTGTGGCAGATAATGTTCAGCGAACACTGTTACAGCAGCTCTGCATTTTGATGTGTTGGAATGTTAAGCTTGCATTAGAGTGTTAAGTGTCACCCGCTAAAAATTAAACATGATTGAAAGTTCGTTGTGGATGACCTGTTTTAAGAGCATTACAGAATTTTTGGCAAAGCCCACAGAATGGAAAGCCTCCTTTAGAAGAAGCAGAATCATCAAATGCAACCAAGGTGAACATAATTAATATTTTAAAGCTGTGCATAGCAGGTTTCATTCTCATTTGTGCATTCCTAAAGTCGTGTTCTGCGAGCAATGTACCATATGCTCATGGCTATGCAATTAAACGAGGTTTAAATCAAATGCACATGGGTTGAATTATCCCAGACACTACAGTACATATCTCAATCTTGAGAATTGTTCTTACAGTACGCTTGAATTCAAGGTCTCTTTTCACACACTTTTCTGTTAATTTAGCCATCAGTTGCTTTCAACATTTTCATTAGTTATAGGTCCTTGCAACTTTGAAACGGAAATATTTGTAGTACTTTACCCACCTGGAATTATGAAGCTGTGCTTCTTTGAAAGGTTTTTTAAGCAGATTTATTAAAAAAATATTTTTATTGTGAAAAGATCTCTGTCTAGCCTGGCAGCTGATTTGAGAACATCATATAACATGCAGGGTAGGAATAGACCAAGGATTAAAATAGAATTGAACAATGTGACATTTTATTTCAGTGCTTTGTAGTTCAAAATTCATTACAAAATGAGCCAAATAAAAAAAGCAGCAGAATGCCTTTTTTTTAAACTGCTGAAAATCCAACATTACAAAAGCAGAGAATGATTTACAGCTGCAGCTGTTCTTCAAGTGTTGAGATCTTCTGTTCAACTGAAGTAACATAATTTCTCCTTTAGTTAGAGCCAGCATGCTCCATATTTGTATCGAGCATTAAAACAAATATGTAAAAATGTTCATACCTTAGAGTCATATCCATATGAATATAGTTATACCATATAGTTATACTGTTTTTTGTATCGAGATTTTTTAAGATCTTGTTAATTGTGGTGTACAGTATACCAGTTTAGATTACATCGCACTGGTTAAAAACGTGTAGGTGTTTACCATGGATATCTCTCAGAATTGGGTGAAAACATTTCTAATATAGCCTTAGGATTAGGAACTACTGTTCCGATACTACCTATACTACCTACAGTATACCCTGTGCAGGGGCAGTATTAGTATCTGTATCTGTATAGTAGTGCCATCTATAGGCTTTAGGTACATAATGCAGAAAACTCTTAAAGTCGTAACGGACATCAGGCCTTTTACAGGATTCTGCCTCCAAAAATGAACATCTCTTTTCTAGGCCATGACGTTTTTTTTATGTGATATGCGCTGATGTACCTCCCAGTCTAGTACACATCAGCTAAATCTCCCTAAATCTGGTGTTGATCCTCAGTCATTTTCATTGTTCCCATATAGCTGCAGTACCCTGTGAGAAAAGGCATTGGGATTCTGGGGTTTAATCCATCTTTTCCTCCATGCTTGTACACAATACTCCTAA